TTTTTTTAAAGATGACCGGTAAGGGGATCTTAATCCTTGACTTGGTGTTGTCAGCACCATGCTCACCCAGTGAGCTAAGCAGCCATCCCTATATGGGATCCGAACCTGTGGCCTTGGTGTTATCAGCACCACACTCTCCCGAGTGAGCCATGGGCTGGCCCCATTATTATATTTTTAAACATTTTTTTACTTTATGAACTTAGGTAGGCACCTACCTGGCAATGTCTTAAAAACAGCTAACTTTCAAGGCTGTTCCAAGTTAGTGGGGGAAGCTCCAGGGTATTGGCAAGTGGCAGGGTCTTGAGCAAACACATGATATTACCTGGACTGGAGGTGCCGAAAGAGAGACAAGGAGTTATCATGAGGCTGAAGATAAGATATCAACAGTGTTTTAAAATCACCCCTATAAACTTGCAGAACCTATCATAACTGCATGAAAAGTGCAGTTTTTTCCCCAACCCATTTGAAAGTAAACATGCCAACCCAGTGCAAAGCTGGAAAAATTCAAAGTCAGCTTTTTGTATCTTTTCCCCTTGATAATGGAAGATCCAGCCCTTCAAAGATCCAGCCCTTTTAAAGGGAACAGAGTTTGATAACCAATCTGATTCTTTGTTATAGACTATGCTTAATCGAAACTCATTCACATTATCATGTTAAAATGATTCATTTGCATCTTATACCCATTATAGCTAATTGTGGAAGAATTCTCATAAATTTAAACAATTTCAAGTCTTGCCTCTTAAGGTTGGGAAAGAGGTTGGAGCATATATATTGTGTATCCCTTGATAGACCAGGAGTCTATAAGTCCTGGCCAAGTCTACTCCTTTTTCTGTGCTAAGATTCTCTGTAACATAGCATTTCATTTGTCACTTTTGAATTACAACCTTTTCTCTTCCACCTGTTTCACAAGCTGACATCCTAATAAAAGCTCCACTTAGGGGCCGGCCCGGTGGCGCACTGCACTAGTGCGCCGCTTGGGAAGCGTGGTGGCGCTCCCGCCGAGGGTTCGGATCCCACATACAGACCGGTTCCCGCTCACTGGCTGAGCAAGGCGCGGGGGCAACACCGAGGGTTGCGATCCCGTTGCCGGTCCCGGTCCGGTACGGGGGCAACACTGAGGGTTGCGAACCGTTGCCGGACACGGAAAAAGACAAAAAAAAAAAAAAGCTCCACTTAGAACACCTCTGTTAATTCTTTTGGTATTAACTTTCTGATAAATTTTTTATTTTGTTTAGTAGCTATTACTCTGCTTTAGAATTTTGCCTGGGACCTATCTTTTATAAACAAAGAATACACATAAATTGGTTTCACCAAATTAACAGATAATTATATGAAAAATATCCATTTAAAAAATGTATATCCCACCTTGTTCCAGGAAAAATTTAACATGGGTTATTTATAAATCAATCAATTAATTAGTAAAACAAAATAGCATAGTTAATTGTGAGAACTTAAAGTGGAACCAAGAAAGGGACTAGCTCTTCAGTATTCATAAATTTGTTTACATTTGCAGTACCTCTGACAAAAAAAGTAGTAGTACTCTTTCTGTAGCTTTAATGATTAAGGTCTAAGATCCAGTTCTAGGTTTGCCAAAAATGAAAGTGTACATGCCTATTAAGAAAGGAGCCACTTTTTTCATAAAATCTCTTCTCTGCCTTTGCAATTTTTGCAATTTTGAAACTTCTTCATTAAGGTATAATGTGGAATAAATTAGAGACCAATATTATAGCAACTTATTACTTTGTTTTTGTTTATAAAAAAGCAAAAACTAGGGCCGGCCCGGTGGCGCACTGCTACAGTGCGCCGCTTGAGAGTGTGGTGGCGCTCCCGCCGAGGGTTCGGATCCCACATACAGACCGGTTCCCACTCAGTGAGCGAGGTGCGG